ATGACCTCCACGGTCCCTCCCAACTCTGTTATTCTATTCTGTTATTCTGATAGCGTCGTGGACCCAACGAACATGAATTTGGGCAAACTCTGGGAGGCACTGGAGGACAAGGGGGCCTGGCATGCTGGAGTCCATGGTGTCACGAAGAGTTGGACGCAACATAGTGACTGAACAATAACGACAACCAATCTGGCTTTCAAAGAAAATTCAGTGTCTGGTGATATTTCTCAATCTGCAAATTCAGCAAGGCTCTGCTGGGGAACATTATTAATTCTACAACCGAAGCACCCACCTACCCATTTCTCAATTCACTGGGGGACAAAAAATGCAGACCCCAAAACTGAAAGAGAGACAGACAGAAGGAAAGAAAATAAGTAGTTAGATGACGTAAGTCCGAACTGGAAAGAATGAAAGTTGGACTTATTCCAATTAGATAAATCTAGGAAAGATTATGGTGTGGAACTCAGGTTCCATGAAAGAGAAGGGCAAGAATATAATTTATGGGGGAAAGAGGTGATTTCCCTTCTGCTTGGCACAAGATGTTGAGAGATGATAGATAGATAGATAGATAGATAGATAGATAGATAGATAGATAGATAGATAGATAGAGGCAGAAATAGATAGATGATAGAGAGAGATGATAGAGAGAGGAATGAGACAAACATGCACACACACAGATGATAGATGATGGGTGGATGGATGGATGGACGGACGGGTAGGTAGGTAGGTAGGTAGGTAAGAGGTAGAGAGATGGATATAGATTATAGGTAGGTAGGTAGGTAGATAGATAGAGAGATAGAGAGATAGAGAGATAGAGAGATAGATAGAGGCAGAGATAGTTAAAAATTAGAGAGAGAGAGAGATGATAGAGAGAGAGATATGAGACAAACACACACAGAAACAGATGATAGATGTATAGATGGATGGATGGATGGATGAATGGACAGATACATGGATGGACGGAAGAATAGGTAGATAGGTAGGTAGGTAGGTAAGAGGTAAAGAGATGGATATAGATGATAGATAGATAGATAGATAGAGGCAGAGATAGATAGATGATAGAGAGAGATGATACAAAGAGAGAGATGAGACAAACACACACAGAGAGAAACAGATGATAGATGGATGGATGGATGGATGGACGGAAGAATAGGTAGGTAGGTAGGTAAGAGGTAGAGAGATGGATATAGATGATAGGTAGGTCGGTAGATAGGTAGACAGACAGACAGACAGACAGACAGACAGACAGACTAGAGAGAGAAGCAGGCAGGCAGACTTTTAAAAAAAGAAAGAAAAAAATTTAAGACAGCAAGGCTTCTTTCTGAATCAATTCAGCCCAGATGGTTCAAACAAGAATGAGGAATATTTCAAAAATGTGGATGCTTGCAATGACCCACCGCTGTCTTTTTCCAGAGGGACTCCTTGGAAAGTCGGATTTCACTTAGCAATTGGAAAGCTTTGCTCCGGAGCAAAACCTGGGAAAAGGGAAATATTGCCACCACTGCCTAGACTCCAGAGAAACACGGCAGAAACCATTTCATCCTCTGCGGTTCCCTTCTGCTTCCACCTTTCCCAAGGCTCTTTCTCCCCCCCCCCCCCCCCAAAAAAAAGAAGTCATCTTCAAAGCCAGATTAAAAAGGGCTAAATCCTGTTCCACTTGTTGCGATGTCGATTTCCTGAGCCCGGTGGGGCCCCTATCTCTATTCTTTTAGGACACTGTCTTCGCTTCTGTCATCAAGGCCAAAGCTGCCCACTTCTGGCCTGATCCAGTGATGGCTAAACGCATTTCCTTTCAGTGCTCCTTGACCGACTGTCATCCACAAAGCCGGATCTACATACATAATGCCTTTGGAGGACTCGGCTGGAGCAGCCTAGCCCTGCCTGGCTCAGAGACCTGAACCGCAATCTAGAAACCTGTTGCACGCTGAAAGGAGAACCGGATTAAATCTCCAACGACGGGATAGGCCGCCTCGGGCGAACCCTCCCAGCCTCTTGGCTAGCCGGGATTGAAGATCAGAAGACCATCGAAACTTTACGGCTTTGGGGGTTTAAAGGAGACATTTTGCTCTGCACTCAACCTGATGGCACAAGGCAGCTCTGGAGTGGATGGTCTGCAGAAAATATAGAAAAAGAGGGGAATATCTTTGGCAAGAACTCAAGAGAAGCAGCAGAAGATTGGAAAAGGTCGAGAGACCTGGTCCATAGAATCATAAGAGTGAACAACTTCTTCTTCTTCTTCTTCCTCTTCTGCTTTCTTCTTCTTCTTCTTCTTCTTCTTCTTCTTCTTCTTCTTCTTCTT